GACCTAGACCACCACCACCGACACACAGCACAACCTTTTACGATAATAATAAAAAAAAAGAAATAAAACACAAATAAATACAAYTGAAACAGTGTGATTTCCACTTGCCTCGTTACTGAACTATAAACATTGTTTCAAAAGGTGCTGAACACTTTCTCAGCTCCGCGTCATCAGCATCCAAAGCTGAACACTCAGTAGCAAATGCATTTTTTTTATTTTATTTTATTTTTTGCTCCCCCTAGCGCTCTCCCTGATTTAGAGGGACTGTAGCAGGTTTCACAATCATCATTTCTACGTTGGATGTTTATATTAAAGAGTGCAACCGCAGGGCAGCAAACCACTTATTGCGATAAGTAACGAGCATCTGCCGAGAGAATAAAAGTATATRTATCTAAAAAGGTGAATTCCTCCACAAATCTTCACTTTTGGCCTGGGTAGTGTTTGCTACATTGTACACTGAGCAAAAAAATTGAATTAAAAAAATAAAGTAAAAGTTAAGACACGGCGTACGGCACAATGTTACTGACTGAAAGCAGTACTTTGCGACGACCAATCTGGAAGAAAGTGGATGAAAACTAGTAGATGTGTGGCAGTAGATGGAGATCGTTGCACGGTTCGAGAAACGTTAGCTTGAGTGCATAATTAGACTACGAGTGATCTCAGCAGGGAGAAGGTACAGCTAAACAGTTCCTGATTCGCGAGATGTTTTGAAGACCAAAAACAAACAAACAAACAAAAAAAAAAAAACAAGCTTTCAAAGCTTAGCACCATGGTTGTTTAGTTATTCACAAAATGTACATTTTAAAAGAAAATAAGTTTGAATGTGAGGAAAAAAAAATAAAAAATAGGTTTGGCTCATGAACTGACTTCACCACTGCACAAATGGGGGTTGGGGTGCTACAGAAGCACCTGTCACTAAAGGATGGAGCGGCTATTTAAAATAAAAATAAAAAATGGTTCTRTGAAAAGGCACCGCCCTCCTAGAAAACAATATATATATAGGATTTTCAGCAATGATTCAAAAACATATAAGGCTTGGTGAGCGTCTCAGAACATTTTGTTTTGTTGGCATCTCGTTCATTTACATCTACGAGCTCTACTTGTTTCCGCTTCATCATTTGTGTGGTCGTAAAAAAAGCAAAACCACATCCTTGACAACTGCTACGCGGGCACAGTTGTGGGTGTAAGGATTCTCATGAATAGAAGAGTGCTGAACTCACCCCTCCACACACACACAGAGGTGAAAAGTTTCTGTCATAAAGTGTCGAAAAAAAAAAAAAAAAAAACGGCCTCAACGCAATTGCCAATTTTAGCTAAGGCCCACTCATCGCTCAGTTGAGGAATCGCCGACATCGCCGGGCCCCGCAGTTGCAGCCCAGCTTGTTGCTGGCGTCTTCGATGGGGAACTTGTAGTCGTAGGTGAGCTCCTCCCCCCGGTAGATCTTGCGGAGGGCGAAGATGACGATGTGCTTCCGGCCTTCCACGTTGATCACCCGTGAGTAGCAGTTGGGCTCGCACGAGTGGTTGATGAACCTGGCCGCGTTGCCGTGCATGGTGGCGTCCACCACGTCGAAGTCRTCGATGCGGAACATGTAACAGCCGATACCCTGAGGTGGGGACGACGACACATTACCCTCCTCTTACTTTTAACTTGTGATTATTTAATGCAAACCTGAGTTAGAAGGAAAGCGATCAGCAGCACAAACCTTGCCGTCGTAGTACTTTTCTCTTTTGTCTGTGAGCACTGCGCGAATGACGATGCCTGCGTACTCGATGACCATCTCCCCCGATTCAATGTTCCTCTTACAAAACAGACCGCGGCCATGAATGGCAGATCTGCAACAACAAACAGCAACAACAAAAAAATCTGTTGAAGAGTCCAAAACAACATATAATCAAGTCTGGGGATGGTGATTTTCAAATATTTACAGTTTAGATAAATGTGAGCCATCATATCGAAATGAGGATTAAGTCAAATTTGGTCAAAATGACCTAATTACGTTTTCAGATTCTTGGCT